GGCTTTGAGTCTCCACTCTGCACTCACTCACATGTCAATCTTGATGGGGTAGAAAGCCTCATCTTTCTCCCTCAGACCTGCTGCTGGGTTCCAACTGTTGGCCTTGTGGTTAGCAGCCCAATTCAGGGCCTACAAATGATGTTAGAAATATCCAAATGGCTCTTGGCAGAACAAAGGTTCCCCATCCTTGGCCTACAGGGTAGGTGGAGTAAACTGTGCCAATGAGATTCTCTAGGCCAGCCCTTGCTACTCTGGGAGAATGAGCAGGGGCATTGTCATCACGGACAAACATTCCTAAGCACAGCCTGCCTGCCTTTTTTTTCCACCAATGTGGTTTTCTCTTTTCTTAAAACTATTTCACATTGAGCCCTCAGGATTGTCCTTTGAGGAAACTGACCAAGACTCCCTTTTGGGAATCCCTTAAACCAGCCTCCATAACTTTTTGATCTGATCTCTGCCTTGACTTTAACTGGCTCTGCAGATCCCCTCAGAAGTCACTGATTTAAAAGAGCTCGTTTTTTGAAGGGACCCTAACCAAACAAAGACTAGTATGACACCGAGAGGGCTCATTGATGGCCAAGACATGTTTAAACATGTTTTGTATTGGATCCATGCATGTATGAACTAGAGTCCTAGTAACAATACTGTATGACTTAACCGTGTGTGTGTGTGTGTGTGTGTGTGTGTGTGTGTGTATACACACTCACGAGGGGGGTGGAAAAAAAGTTTGTAGAAAATAATAGAATTCAAAGATAATGAAAGTTTTCCATGAACATTTAGAAGCCTCCCTGATATGTGTATTTTAATTTTGCAGTGGCTAACATTTGTCCTATCAGGTGTTAGTCAAAGACTTAAGCAGTTAGAGTCGTGGTTCTCAACCTGTGGGTTTGCGACCCTTTTGGGTAGAATGACCCTTTCACAGGGGTTGCCTAAGACCATCAGAAAACGCAAACTGTATTTCAATGGTCTTAGGAACCGAGACACCGCTCTTCTATTTGTCTCCAAGTGGGTCCGCCCACATGCAGAGACACCCACATACGAATACTAGGCGTGAAGACTGTTACCTATGCTATACCATGCTTCAAGACAAAATTTCATTGATTTGTCATTAGAAATAAATATTTCATAATGTATAATTACATATTGTTCTTGCGATTAATCACTATTCTCTCACTATGTTCAATTTGTAACAATGAAAATACATCCTGCATATCAGATATTTACAAGAAGACTCATAACAGTAGCAAAATTACAGTTATGAAGTAGCAA